GGCGTCCGCACCTTGCTCAGCCAGTGAGCGGCTGGTCTGTATGTGGGATCCGAACCCTCGGGTGGGAGCACCGCCGCACTCCCAAGCGGCGCACTGTAGCAGTGCACCACCGGGCCGGCTCTTAAAGGCTTTTATACACGTTGCTAAATTGTCCTTTTGAGAAGATTGTATAAAATGCATTTTAGTTCATAAATTTATTAAACCCTGGTTTTCAAACTCCTGTGTGATAACCAGAGTATTAGAAAGTAGACTTCTGTTTTGATTACTTTGACCATAAATTTGGGGTTCAAGAAGTAATAAAAAGATTGTGACTTTGTTGTAATCATTAGTAATCAACTGCAGTAAAGTGATATCCAGCATAGTTAGTTCTTTGGATTCAGTCATACCTTTGTTTAAGGCACTCTTCTATTTACTAGCTATATTAGTTTGCCAGGGCTGCCATAACAAAATACCACAGACTGGGTGGCTTAAGCAGTAGAAATTTATTTTCTTACAGCTCTAGAGGTTGGATGTCCAAGATCAAGATATCAGCAGGTTTGGTTTTTCCTGAGGCCTCTCTTCCTTGGCTTGCAGATGGCCGCTTTCTTGCTGTGGGCTCACATGGCCTTAACATTGTCTCTCATCATCCCTGGTGTCTCTCCTGTGTGCTAACTTCATCTTTTCTTTTTTTTTTTTGTGACCGGTAAGGGGATCACAACCCGGCTTGGTGTCGCCTGCACTGCGCTCAGCCAGTGAGCGCACCAGCCATCCCCATATAGGATCCNCTTGGTGTCGCCTGCACTGCGCTCAGCCAGTGAGCGCACCAGCCATCCCCATATAGGATCCAAACCCGCGGCCTCAGCGCTCCCAGCGCCGCACTCTCCCAAGTGAGCCACGGGGTCGGCCCTAACTTCATCTTTTTATAAGGACACCAGTCAGATTGCATTAGGGCACACTCGTTTTAGAGGCCCTATCTCCAAATACAGTCACATTCTGAGGCACTGGTATTTAGGGCTTCAGCATGTGAATTTTAGGAGGACACAAATCAGTCCATAACATTAGCTCTATGATCTTTAGCAAGTCGGCCTCAATTTTCTCGTCTATAGAATGGGGGTGATAACATTCACTTACCTCAAATGTAAATATAGCTGTGTAGATTAAATGAGGTAATGCATGTAATGTACTTGGCATAGTACCTAGTGCTTCATGAATGTCCAGGAGGTGCCACCTGTTATTACTGGCTATAGCTTTGACTAAGTCTGCTTTATTTGTTCCCAGTATCTTTCTACCAGAGTGGCTACTCAGATGTTCCTATGATAGGGAAGTTAAATATACCAACAGTGTACATAATTATGGATAAAAGGGAAATGTTATCATGATAGATTTAAACAAAGCCAAGTTATTCATAATTTTCTCCTCATTCCAAGATTTTTTAAATAATTGTATGCTTCCTTAGTCATTTCAGCCACAGGTTTTTATAATAAAGCCTGCTGCTACCAACCCTATTCCTCCATACACAGTCCAAGCAGAAACTTCAAAATAAAATACATCTTGCCATTTTGCACACAAGGTTTGACTATTGGTGCATTCAGAAAATGAAAGTTAGACACAAATACTTTGAAGACAGGATGTAAGCTGTCTATGATTGGAGAAGTCAGCATTGCCATTATTCTGTCTTATAGGCATGGTGTGGCCACACTAATAATAATATTAACAATAAAAAGTAATTCCCCATTCTTCTGTGATAACAAGTTTGTAGAGTTCTTTCATACAGCGTTTTTGTTGTCTATTTTTCACCTTCATTGAGGTATAATTGAT